CGTCGGGTTGATGACGCGGCGGCGCGGGTGTGTTGACTGCGTCAATCGCGTCTTTGTACAGTTGGTCCCACTCGCCACGCTGGAAGGCTCGGAGTCGGGCCTTGATCTGGGGCCAGTTTCGTCGCTGTGGCGATGTTTGGCGAAGCGTCAGACGCGGGAGAAAGAGGAGGAGGCGCCAACCAGCCTCGGACTCCGGGTTTCGTGACAGATGAAGTAACGGGGTCAGTAGCGCCAGCGAAAACAACTGACACAAATTTGGCGGTAACCGTCGTGCCAGGGGTGGCTGCCGACTGTCGCAAAGGGCAGGGATATCCCAGTTCGCGATGTCCGCGAACCAGTCTGCCCGTTTCGCCAGCTCCTCTGGCGTGAAATAGTGGGGGGGTTGGGGATTTTCTCGCGCCGCAGCCGTGTCTGTCGCGGTCCGATTTCGCCCAGTCCGGCTCGTCCTTGCTTGTGGTGGTGTGGTTGGAAACTCGCCCGTACGATCAGCATCGGACGGTCCGCGTGCAGGGTCCCCTCGCACTGCACGGGACTGCCTTGTCCCTGCTCCCATCCTCCCAGCGGTCTCCCTTATTCCTTCCTCTCCTTACGTCCCTTCATCCTCACTTGCTGGCACGGGCTCTTCCCTATAAGAGGGGTCCATATTTTCGTCATCGTCATTATCCAGTCTAGTTAAAGCCCTTCGTGCCTCCGACTGGTAGCGATTCTCCGGCCCTCCTCCCTGTCTGCTAGCCGCTTCTCGCCCTCCGCCTCGCGCTCCCCGGCCTCGCGATGGTGATTGCTGGAGTGACCGATTACTCGCCAATGCGCGCTGGCGCTGCGTCGGTTGCGTTCGAAAGACCGTCGTATGCCTCCGTAACGGGGACCTTGGCGACGGGGTCCCCGCCGCCGTATGCTCCGAAGCCCGTGACAACAGACGCTGAAAAGACTCTTCCCCCCGTATCCGCGGATCCCCTTGGCGTGAGCGAGGCTGGCCCGTCTGCCCCTGTTGTTGCTCCGCCTGCTCCGCCTGCTGCTCCCGGTCCTCTTGCTCCCGTTGTTGCGCCAACGGCGTCTGACCCTGCTGGGGAAGTTGCTGATCCCCCTGCTCCTGCCCCTGGCGCCCCCGTTGCACCGACCGCTTCTGTCCCCGCCGTGCCTGCGCCGGCGTCTGCTTCGTCCCCGAAGGCGGCGTTCGCCACCACTGGCGGCCCGGCCCCGGTGGTTGCGCCTCCGGTCGTGGACCCGCCTGCACCCGCCGGCGTTCTCTCTCTCTCTCTCTCTCTCTCTCTCTCTCTCTCTCTCTCTCTCTCTCTCTCTCTCTCTCTCTAATGGTCCGTATATTGATATGGCAGAAAGGTACACACATACAAGTAGTGAGCTTCCTAAAACATGCAAGTCCCAGCCTATCCCATCTAGAGTTCTACCAGTGGCTCTAAAACAGCAAAGCAATCTCCAAGGTGTAGCTCATGGCCGATACCCCACACCGGGGGGTTTTCTGCTGCCGCCGCTTCACCCAACTTCATTAGTAGGCCCACCGACTGTGCTCTCTGCAGAGCAACCGACCACCGCTGCCTGAACTGATGCAGAAACTTAGCGGCATGATAGGAGTTAGAATCGGCGTTGAAGTAGTGCCGAGCCGCCGTGTCTGCTAGGAGTTTCCGGAAGACGGGGACCTCGGCACATGGGCAGCCATAGGTTTCCACTGCCAACGGTAAGAAGCCCACCGTTTCGGGTCTGTTCGCGTAGTGCTTAATCTTTTTATCGGCCTGCTCTCTAGCCGCCCATCCCCTGCCTTTCTGTGCCTCTAGATCCCGGGTGCTGATGGGATCCGTCACTGTTACATCACACACCCAAACTGCTCCACTGCTCCTGTCCATCATGGTGAAGTCGGTCGTCTGCTCCTCAATGGGACAATATGCGGCCGACTCACTATGGACTATGAACCCTGCATCCTGAGCCATGCTGATGCACGCATCTCTGAGCTCATTGTGGGCGTTGGTCCTATGCTTGCCTGTGCCGCAGCGAAGGAGGTGGTTTGGGAGGCGGGGATCTATGATTGCTGTGTGATCCGCGCAGTCACAGTTTTTGGGGGTAGAGAATGGCAAGCCGAGGCGAAATCTGACGGCGTTGGCGAAATGCCCCTGCCCAATGCGCCGTGTTGCTGCTATGGGTATTGCTGTCAACCAATCCCCCGTGCCGTATCCCGTTAATGAGAACATCCGCTGCGTGTGGCCCGCTAGCGGATTCGGCTGCATGCCCCTCGTTTCTTCGACCTGCACCGCGTACCGGCTACCGTGGACTTGCAAGGCGAGCGCGTGCTGTAATTTGACATCCGTACGCTTAAGTCGCTCTCGTTCCAGCAGCTCCCTCCCGTCGGTCGGTAGAGCTGTTTCGCACTCAGCGAGCCAGGAGTGAAGTGGCGTGCTCTCATCTCTAGGCGGTAGCATATGGTTGCGCGCGCGAGTCAGTGCAGATTCCGGGGCTAGCGCGAGCGAGGAGAAGAACAGTGACGCCTGTGTGAAGCTTGCCACGAAACCATACACTCCCTCTATGAGAGGGTCTGTGATGCCGACCCCCCCAAGCGACGGAGGGAGTGACGCCTGGGCCCATACTCATGTCTGTTTTACTCTACCCGCCGGGACGCGAATGTTGCACGAAGTGAGCAGGGCCGTAAGGAGGTCCCGTCCCCATTGGGTCCATGTATCCCGGGCGAGGAGATTGAGGGGAGTCGTCCGTGTGAGATACGCCACTCGCCGGGAGATGCAGTGCGTGATCAGCAGTGATGCTACTTGTGGGTCGGCTTGTTCGAGGAGTGGTAGTGGTTTCGCCATCTCCCCAAGCTGCCCGGCCAAGAACGCCGCTGCACCGTCAGCCGGCCCGATGAAGCCGCCAAGCAGCCGAACGCCGTCCTCGCAGAACGGGACTCCTGGAGGCAGCTGCGTTGCATCGCACGGCACCGCTCTCCATGCCGTACACTTTTGCGGGTTGTGTCTCAGGCCCAGTAATTCCAGCTTGGTGGTGAAATGTGTGAAGGCAGCTACAGTGGCTCGTGGGTCTCCCACAAATGTCACATCGTCCGCATATGCCAAACAAAGCACATCGGGATGTGTTGCTGCAGTGTCGCAAAGTGTAGGATGAATCCCAGCCGCGAACAGGAGTGGGCCCAAGGGGTCTCCCTGCCGAACGCCCCGTTTGCTACTCAGAGGTTCGCTCGCGAAGTTTGCGTCGAGGTGCAGGTGAGACGGGTTACCGTAGGTCAGTTTAACCAATGGTAGCAGTGGTGACAAGTTCGGCTTGTCGCGAAATGCTATTGAAAGCGTTGGCGATGTCGGTCTGCAGTACCAGGCTGTTCGGGTTGGAGTCCACGAATGCCCGGGCGGCGTGGATTGCTGCTTCCGCCCCACCTGGCATAGCCACGCCGTACTGTAGGGGCAGGAAATGTTCCCGGGCTGCTTCGCCCATAACCAAAAGCGCAGCCTTTGCAGCTAGCCGCGTGAGGCATTCACCTATTGCAATTGGCCGGGCCCCTCCTCCAGGCTTGGCCAAGGCTATGAGTCGGGATGCTGTCAGTAGGTCTGCTACCGAGGCAGGTAGGTTTCCCCCCAGAATTGTGTTAACCAGGGCGTGCAAATGGGTGCTGACTGATGCATTTGTTACTGCCGCGTTGCGCAGATGCTCGAATGCCGTCCCTGACGGTCCGGCTCCCACCCCATTCTCGCAGCGCCCAAGGAGCTTCACAAATTCAGCGTGGGAAATGCACAGTTTTCTGGCGTCAGTCTCCTGCCAGGTCAGCGACTCGTTCCCTGCGGGCGGGTGTTTCTGGCGAAGTTCGTGCAGGATTTCTGGGCTGGGTGTGCAGACGGGCGTTGACTCAAGCGCCAGCACGGCTCGGCGCAGGCTGCCACGTTTCGCCAACCCCTCGGCTCGACTCAAGACACCTGTCGTATCGGGTTGGTGGCGTGGAGGCGGAGGAGTGTTGACCGCGTTTACTGCGTCCTGGTACAGTTGGACCCATTCGCCACGCTAGAAAGCCCGGAGCCGGGCCTTGATTTGTGGCCAGTTTGGGTGCTTTGGCGAGGCTTGGCGAAGTGTCAGAGGCGGGAGAAAAAGCAGCAGTCACCATCCTGCTTCGAAGTCCGGGTTTCGCGAGAGGTGGTGTAGCGGGGTCAGGAGAGCCAGCGAAAATAACTGGCACAGGTTTGGCGGTAATCATCGTCGCGACAATGTTGGTTGGCGGCTGTCGCGTAGGGCTGAAACATCCCAGTTAACAATGTCAGCGAACTTATTGTCCATCTATGCCAACTCTTCTGGCGAAAAATAGCGAGGGAGCCGGGGGGCGTCGTGAGCAGCGGGGTGGTTTGAGGCGGTCCGATTTCTTTGTGCGCGCCGCGGTCTCGTTGATTGGGGCTGAGTTGGAATCACATCCCTTCGATCTGCATCGGACGGTCCTTCTTGCCTCCGCGCTCCAGCCGAAGGTACCTGGTCTGCATCTGGACCTCTCCTTCCTGCCCTCGCCCTTGTGATCTCTGCTCCATCCGATACTTCATTCTCACTCTCCGGCAGTTCCTCTTCCCTATATGTAGGATCCGCTCTCTCCTCGACCTCATTAGCCGCCACCAGCGCGATTAAAGTTCTTCGACCTGCTGCTTGGTACCCGTTCTCCGGACCTCCGCCTGCTCCGCTAACTACCTGGCTTCTGTCTCCGCGTGCCTCTCTCGCCCGTGATGGTGATTGCCGGTGGGCTTGAGCCGTTGCCAGAGCGCGTTGACGCCGGGTCGGCAGTGGTCGCCAAGCCTCTGTCTGAGCCCGGAAAGGCGACCACGGCATCGAAGCCCCCTGTGCCGCCGGCTCCGCGGCCCGCGACAACAACCTCTGAAATGCCTCCTCCCCTCGGACCCGCGGCCCCCCTCGTCCAGCCTGCGCCTGGTCCATCTGCCCCGGTTGCCGCTCCGTGTGCTGCGGCAACTGCTGCTCATCTGTCCGTCCCTGCTGCTGCGGCTGCGGCTGATCCCCAGGCATCACCGGTTGCCCCGCCGGCGACTGTCTCTGCTGGGGTCGTCGCTGATTTCCCGGCTCTCGAGTCTGCTGTACCCGTTGTACCTCCTGCTGCCGTCCCCGAGTCGCCGGCACCGGCCTCCGCGATGTCCCCGATGGCAGGTCCGCCACCACTGGCGGCCCGGCCCTGTTGGCTGTAACCTCTGCGGCAGGTCAGTCCGCCCCTGCTGTGATGCCGCTGGCCCCGGCGGGTCAGCCGTCACGCCCCCCGTCACCGGACCGACGCCTGTCTCGCCCCCATTCCCCCGCGCCTCACCAGGAGCGCAGGTCGTCACGTCGCCGGCGTGATTCTCCACAGTGATACCACCAGCAGTCTCACTGGCCCGCTCATCCCGGTGGTCAGGGGGACTGGCGTGGTCCCCGCGGGCGCGGTGGTGGTGGGGCGTACCGCCCGCCTGTGACGATGGCGGATCTTCAGCGGGAGGTGTCAAGGGCAGTGCGCCAGGAACGGGCGGCGCAGAGTCAGGACAGTTCGATGCGCGCTTCGCCAGCCCATGAGGCTCCTCGCCTGGCTGCGCTCCCCTTGAGTCCGCCGCAGGTCGCTGCACCCCTACCACAGGTTCACGTCCCGCCGGCTCCTGCTCCCGCCGCCGCGGCGCCTGCTCCTGGTTCCCGTCTCCAGCTGCCGCGTGTTCCGCCTGTTGCGAGAGTGGAGTTCGTGGCCGCAGGTGGAGGCAAGGCGGCGGCTCAGTATTCACACCAAGTTGCTGCTGATGAGCCGCTTCATTTCCTGGCGGAGGCACTCCAGCCTCCGCAGAGACGCGTTCCCGAGGCAACCCTCGGCCAGCTCCACCGCCTCGCGGAGGGTCTCCACGCTTTGCTGCTAATTCAGGTCCTCGCTCACTCGTCACTCCCCGTGATCCCTCCTGAGACCTTTCGTGCCCGCCAGCGAGAGAGTTGCCAGGACGCGGCGGACCAGCTCGCGGTGCTGCTGGCGCCCGTGCTGGCTGCGCCCGCAGAGGGTGGCGCTGCTGCTGCGGGACAGCTTGACGAGGCTGTCCGGGGCTTGAGGCGGCACTTCCGCGCAGGATCTGGAGCCGCGGCGATCGGCGCAAGCACGCTTGTGGTCCGGGAGCTGTGGCGCTCCCTGACGGGCCTTCTTCACGCCCTTGGAGCTCACCGCATGTAGACGCGGGCTCCGTTTGCCCCATGCTTGGTTTGCTTGGCTAGGCTACCGTAGCAAATGCCATGCTTGTACTGCCTTTGATTATGAACCACTGTGTGTGTTGTCACTTGCCGTTCCCTCACGCGCGACCGAAGGCCGCGCTCTCGAAGTAGCGAAAAAAATCTGCACCAACTTAGCAATGAGATGAAGAGGCCCAGAGGGGCTTCTTATATAGCTCGCAAAGGAGAGGGCAGAGGGCTAAAGGGGAGAGGGCAGAGGCTAGGATCCTCTCTCTCTCTCGCTCTCTCGAAGTAGCGAAAAAAATCTGCACCAACTGAACAATGAGATGAAGAGGCCCAGAGGGGCCTCTTATATAGCTCGCAAAGGAGAGGGCAGAGGGCTAAAGGGGAGAGGGCAGAGGCTAGGATCCTCTCTCTCTCTCTCTCGCTCTCTCGAAGTAGCGAAAAAATTCTGCACCAACTGAACAATGAGATGAAGAGGCCCAGAGGGGCCTCTTATATAGCTCGCAAAGGAGAGGGCAGAGGGCTAAAGGGGAGAGGGCAGAGGCTAGGATCCTCTCTCTCTCTCTCGCTCTCTCGAAGTAGCGAAAAAATTCTGCACCAACTGAACAATGAGATGAAGAGGCCCAGAGGGGCCTCTTATATAGCTCGAAAAAGGAGAGGGCAGAGGGCTAAAGGGGAGAGGGCAAAGGCTAGGATCCTCTCTCTCTCTCGCTCTCTCGAAGTAGCGAAAAAATTCTGCACCAACTGAACAATGAGATGAAGAGGCCCAGAGGGGCCTCTTATATAGCTCGCAAAGGAGAGGGCAGAGGGCTAAAGGGGAGAGGGCAGAGGCTAGGATCCTCTCTCTCTCTCTCTCGCTCTCTCGAAGTAGCGAAAAAATTCTGCACCAACTGAACAATGAGATGAAGAGGCCCAGAGGGGCCTCTTATATAGCTCGCAAAGGAGAGGGCAGAGGGCTAAAGGGGAGAGGGCAGAGGCTAGGATCCTCTCTCTCTCTCTCTCGCTCTCTCGAAGTAGCGAAAAAATTCTGCACCAACTGAACAATGAGATGAAGAGGCCCAGAGGGGCCTCTTATATAGCTCGCAAAGGAGAGGGCAGAGGGCTAAAGGGGAGAGGGCAGAGGCTAGGATCCTCTCTCTCTCTCTCGCTCTCTCGAAGTAGCGAAAAAATTCTGCACCAACTGAACAATGAGATGAAGAGGCCCAGAGGGGCCTCTTATATAGCTTGCAAAGGAGAGGGCAGAGGGCTAAAGGGGAGAGGGCAGAGGCTAGGATCCTCTCTCTCTCTCTCTCGCTCTCTCGAAGTAGCGAAAAAATTCTGCACCAACTGAACAATGAGATGAAGAGGCCCAGAGGGGCCTCTTATATAGCTCGCAAAGGAGAGGGCAGAGGGCTAAAGGGGAGAGGGCAGAGGCTAGGATCCTCTCTCTCTCTCTCTCGCTCTCTCGAAGTAGCGAAAAAAATCTGCACCAACTGAACAATGAGATGAAGAGGCCCAGAGGGGCCTCTTATATAGCTCGCAAAGGAGAGGGCAGAGGGCTAAAGGGGAGAGGGCAGAGGCTAGGATCCTCTCTCTCTCTCTCGCTCTCTCGAAGTAGCGAAAAAATTCTGCACCAACTGAACAATGAGATGAAGAGGCCCAGAGGGGCCTCTTATATAGCTCGCAAAGGAGAGGGCAGAGGGCTAAAGGGGAGAGGGCAGAGGCTAGGATCCTCTCTCTCTCTCTCTCGCTCTCTCGAAGTAGCGAAAAAAAATCTGCACCAACTGAACAATGAGATGAAGAGGCCCAGAGGGGCCTCTTATATAGCTCGCAAAGGAGAGGGCAGAGGGCTAAAGGGGAGAGGGCAGAGGCTAGGATCCTCTCTCTCTCTCTCTCGCTCTCTCGAAGTAGCGAAAAAATTCTGCACCAACTGAACAATGAGATGAAGAGGCCCAGAGGGGCCTCTTATATAGCTCGCAAAGGAGAGGGCAGAGGGCTAAAGGGGAGAGGGCAGAGGCTAGGATCCTCTCTCTCTCTCTCTCTCGCCCTCTCGAAGTAGCGAAAAAAATCTGCACCAACTGAGCAATGAGATGAAGAGGCCCAGAGGGGCTTCTTATATAGCTCGCAAAGGAGAGGGCAGAGGGCTAAAGGGGAGAGGGCAGAGGCTAGGATCCTCTCTCTCTCTCTCTCTCTCGCTCTCTCGAAGTAGCGAAAAAATTCTGCACCAACTGAACAATGAGATGAAGAGGCCCAGAGGGGCCTCTTATATAGCTCGCAAAGGAGAGGGCAGAGGGCTAAAGGGGAGAGGGCAGAGGCTAGGATCCTCTCTCTCTCTCTCGCTCTCTCGAAGTAGCGAAAAAATTCTGCACCAACTGAACAATGAGATGAAGAGGCCCAGAGGGGCCTCTTATATAGCTCGCAAAGGAGAGGGCAGAGGGCTAAAGGGGAGAGGGCAGAGGCTAGGATCCTCTCTCTCTCTCTCGCTCTCTCGAAGTAGCGAAAAAAATCTGCACCAACTGAACAATGAGATGAAGAGGCCCAGAGGGGCCTCTTATATAGCTCGCAAAGGAGAGGGCAGAGGGCTAAAGGGGAGAGGGCAGAGGCTAGGATCCTCTCTCTCTCTCTCTCAAGCGGTCCTTCATTGATATGGCAGAAAGGTACACACATACAGGTTCATAAGCATGTAAGTTCCAGCCTATTCCTTTTAGAGTTCCACAGGTGGCTCTAAAACAGCAAAGCAATCCGCTAGGTGTAGTTCATGGCCAATACCCCCCACCGGGGGGTTCTCAGCTGCTGCCGCCTCACCCAATTTCATGAGTAGGCCCACCGACTGTGCTCTCTGAAGAGCAACCGACCACCGCTGCCTGAACTGATGCAGAAACTTAGCGGCATGATAAGAGTTAGAATCGGCGTTGAAGTGGCGCCGAGCCGCCGTGTCTGCCAGGAGTTTCAGGAAGACGGGGACCTCTGCACACGCGCAACCATATGTCTCCACCGCCAGTGGAAAGAAGCCGACTGTCTCAGGTCTGTTCGCATAGTGTTGAATCTTTTTGTCTGCCTGCTCTCTGGCCGCCCATCCTCTGCCTTTCTGCGCCTCTGGGTCCCGAGTGCTGATGGGGTCTGTCACAGTTACATCACACACCCAAACCGCCCCGCTGCTCCTGTCGGTCATGGTGAAATCGATCGTCTGCTCCTCGATGGGACAATGGGCGGCCGACTCACTGTGGACTATGAAACCCGCGTCCTGCGCCATACTAATGCAAGCATCCCGGAGCTCGTTATGGGTGTTGATGCGATGCTTGCCGGTGCCGCAGCGAAGGAGGTGGTTTGGGAGGCGGGGGTCCGTGATTGCGGTGTGGTCCTAGCAGTCACAGTTTTTGGGGGTGGAGAAGGGCAACCCAAGCCTGAATCTGACGGCATTGGCAAAGTGTGCCGGTCCAATGCGCCTCGTCGCTTCTATAGGCATCGCCGTCAGCCAGTCCCCCATGCGATAGCCCGTTAGAGAAAACATCCGCTGCGTATGGCCCGCAAGCGGATTCAGCTCCATGTCCCTCGTCGCCTGTACTTGCACAGCGTAACGGCTACCGTGGACCTGTAGGGCGAGGGCGTGCTGCAGCTTGACGTCCGTCCGTTTAATACATTCCCGATGCAGCAGCTCACGCGCGTCAGAAGGCAGGGCGGTTTCGCATTTGGCGAGCCAGGAGTGTAGCGGCCTGCTCTCGTCTCTAGGCAGGAGCATATGGCCGCGCGCGTGAGACAGTGCGGAGTCCGGGGCTAGCGCGAGCGCGGAGAAGAGCAGCGCCGCTTGCGTGAAGCTTGCGACAAAACCGTAAACTCCCTCGACGAGAGGGTCTGTATTGCCTACTCCACCAAGAGAGGGGGGCAGGGACGCCTGAGCCCATACGCGCGACTGTTCTGCTCTGCCTGTCGGAGCGCAAATGTTGCACGAGGTAAGTAGTGCCATGAGGAGGACACGGCCCCACTCCGTCCATGTATCCCGGGAGACGAGATTGAAGGGGGTTGTTCGAGTGAGATACGCCACGCGCCGAGAAATACAGCGCGTGATCAGCAGCGAGGCGACCTGTGGGTCGGCCTGCTCGATGAGCGGCAATGGTTTCGCCAAGTCCCTCAGCTGCCCCGCCAAGAACGTGGCTGCCCCGTCGGCCGCCCCTATAAAACTACCCAACAGACGGACGCCGTCCTTGCAGAACGGCACCCCTAGAGGCAGCTCAGTTGAATCGCACGTGGCAGCGCTCCATGCGGTACACTTTTGCGGGTTGTGTTTCAAGCAGGGCCGTCGGCTGCTGATCGAACGGGTGGGAATCCAACTTGACAGCAATCAGCGAGATCGAGCCGCGCTCGAAGAAATCAAACCGCATTATTCCACCATGCGTCAGTCGCGACCCCGCAGCTTCCCCGCTATTTTTCGCCAGAGGAGTTGGCAGAGAGGAGCGACATGTTCGCTGACATCGCGAACTGGGATGTTTCCGCCCTCTGCGACAGTCGACAACCGCCACTGTCGAGACGATTACCGCCAAATTTGTGCCAGTTATTTTCGCTGGCACTCCTGACTCCACTACACCACCTCTCGCGAAACCCTGATTCCGAGGCCGGTTGGCGACTACTCCTTTTCCTCCCGCGATTGACCCTTCGCCAAGCTTCGCCAAAGCACCCAATCTGGCCGCAAATCAAGGCCCGGCTTCGGGCTTTCCAGCGTGGCGAGTGGACGCAGCTCTACCAGGACGCAGTAAACGCGGTCAACACCCCTCCACCCCCGCGTCACCAACCCGACGTGACAGGTGTACTGAGTCGAGCGGAGGGGTTGGCAAAACGTGGCAGTCTGCGCCGAGCCGTGCTGGCGCTCGAGTCAACACCCGTCTGCACACCAAGTCCAGAAATCCTGGACAAACTTCGCCAGAAACACCCGCCAGCAGGGGCAGAGTCGATGACTTGGCAAGCATCCGACACCCGTCCCCTGAGCATTTCCCACGCTGAATTTGCGAAGCTCCTTGGGCGATGCGATAATGGCGTGGGGGCCGGACCA